CCTGGACTGGACTCTTCTGTGAATAAGCAAATCTCTCCAAAACAAGCAGACTGTTTGCTTCCCGACTGTGCTGCATCGGCACTTTGCTTGCCAAGCATTCCTTTGGCTTTTGTGGCTTTCAGCTTGGCCCTCCCTTTGAAACCCAACATCAAGAAGTAGTCCCAGGTGCAATAGCGCCCAAGCAGGGCTGCTGAGAGGGGCCTGCTTCTTTCCTACCACTTCTAGAAAGAGAAGGCACAGGGCAAAGTTTGTGAGCACCCATTCTGGAGCCTAGTGTGATGGAAAATTTGTACACTCACGTGCTTCTCCAATCCAGCCTGCAGAATCCAGGCAGGCACTACTGAGCAAGGGTCCCTGACTCTCCACAGGGAGAAGTATGTTGAATTCCCTGACATACCGAGATCATGGTGGGTGGGGATAGGAGATTCTTGTGTGGTACTGTGAATGGGTCCTGGGATCTGAGTCTTCTAGGACCAATGATGTGGGGCATGGAAGAGGCCTTCTTTCCAGCCCCGTCTGCTCTTCAATGGCTTCTCTAGGACAAATGCTGCAACCTTAGGAGGTCAAGCTTGTCAGTCAGGCACTCATCCTCCAAAATTCTGTGTGTCACACGTCTTGAAGCAGGATGTCTTTATCCTACATGAGTGTGAACTTACTGTTCCCATCCTTGCATCTAATCTTCTTCCCCTCCACTTAGGCCTCGGGGTTTCACAGACTGGAGGTAGTCATGAGCTACTGGGAGGTTTTAAGCTCAGTTTGGAAGTGGGAATACAGACTCTAGCTCAGGGATCAAGCTCCAGACCAGGAGAATAGGATATATGCTCACTAAGCCCAAAGAGTTGTGTCCACAGTGGGTACCAAAGGTATAGTACAGGTGTCCCATGACCTTGGCATGATGGTAATATCTAGCCCACCAGCATCTCATGTCATTTAGTTAGGAACAGTCCAGATGTTTGAGATCTAGCATGGCTTTACCACCAGCCACCTTTATGACTGGGATGGGAATCATTCACTATTTCTGTCCTTAGTTTCCTCAGCTAGGTCAAGAGGGGGCTGGACCAGGTGATTCTTAAGACCCTTCCAGATGATTCTAGTACTCTGCCATTTTGTGTATTTCTGTGTTTCCTCAGGAATCCTCTAACATGCTGGAAATGTGTAAAGTGTATAGGGTACACACAGCACCATTTTCCCCATTTCCTTCTCAGCTTAGTTAATCCCCTGAAGGTCAAAGCAGTAATAACAGTAATTTATATGAAAAATAATGGCTATGGTAGCATTTTCAGGACTATAATTATGAATATAATAATGCTTCAGAAAATACTGGCTGAAAATAGTAAGCTGGAGCCAGTGGAGTAAACTAAGACGTTTAGGACAACATATCAGTCATTCTTCTTAGGATATAGAGAACTTTAAAAATCACAAAAATCCATAGTGGGAAGAAAATAATATTACACAGTTCTGTACCAAGGAGTAAAGTAAAATGTTCAACCCATTCATTTCAGCAACTGGGGCGGAATTATCTGCACGCAGTGACTAATGTTTATGGAGTGCCAACCTAGTGTCAGCCACTGGCATGTTACAAATCTGTGAGACAAGCCCTATCACCACCATTTATGGAGGTGGAATGAGGCTCCAAGAGGTTAAATTACTTGACTGTGGTTGTACAGCTAATAGATGGCAAAGCCCTGCTTCAAATCCAGGAACATCTGAATCTGGAGCCAGAATTTCTCCAACCTCTCCACCCTACTTCTCATTGGATTCCAAATTGAACATGCTATAAAACAGGAGACCTTTCATGCTTTATCATAAGCTTAGAAGCCAGTACTTCTTTTAAACACTCATTATGTCACCTTCTGACAAGAAATGATGATACTGGAATTACAAAAATCATTGTAAGGCTCAGGTGTGTGGGGCTCAAAGTCTCAGCCAACTTTCTTCTTTGGCATCCAGGCCCTCCAGTGCCTAAATGCAGGGCTCATCACGCTGCAACAGACACATGCAACACACACATGCAGCTGTGTTGCCTGAGTGCCAGAAGGAACCAGTGGTCACTTACATTGACAGATTCTTTGCCATTAAACTTGACTCGGATTCTTGGCTCCTGAATGACATCCAAGTTGAAGCCTGTGATGGTCAGGGGAGTGTGGCCACTGGAAACAAGCAGAAGCTGTGTTAGGTAAGAACTCTCTTAAATAGCTACCTAGCATAACCAGTTAACCAGTTGCCATTGAGTTGATTCTGACCCATGGTGACCCCATGTGTGTCAGAGTAGAACTGTGCATCATAAGGTTTTCAATGGCTGCTTTATCAGAAGTCAAGCCTTCTGAGGCACCTGTAGGTAGGCTTGACCCTCTAACCTTTCACTCAGCAGCTTAGTGTGTTAACCATTTGTACTACGCAGGTGAACCTAAACCCCTAGGATCCCCCTCAGAGCTACACTTGGGTTGAAAGGATCATGCCATGTGGCAATGGGTGCATGCCTCTATCCTCCACCTCACCTGGCAATGCTCCACTCTGGCTCAATGCGCTGGACACGGGGGTCATCAATGTACTCAAACTGTAGGTTGTTGTCCACATGGGCTCGGTCTACACTCACAGAAATAGGGACTGGGCCCAGTCCATTGGATGAGGGGGGTGAGACACACACAATCTCATTCATTGACCGCCTGACAGGAAGAAACCAGGAAGGTTGTGAACAAAGGCATGGTAACAGGGGTGCCCTCTGCCTGGAAGAGGGATTTTGCTTGGTTTCAGGGTATGGCCCAGGAAGTGTTCTTTCACCCCTGTATGCTCTACACTGTGGACATGCCCCTTATCACTGTCTATTCATGCCCTTCTTTTATCCCAGACCCAGCTCTGAGTGAATTAGGGAGGGAGAGAATGGGAGAAGGGGTTAGAAAATGTGGGGCAGGGCAGGGCTCCAAGAACTATGGGGGAGCTACTTTTCTCTGGGTTTTTCTTGAATGTGGATACTTATTTAACTGGTGTGTAGATTCTGCTCAGTCAGACAGACAACAAATATTTATTGAGCATTCACTATGCACAGAGGTGAACACAAAGTCATAGCCTTGTGGAGTCTGTTGTCCAAGAAGGAGATGGAAAAAAGCAACCAGTTGCCATCAAGTTGACTGTGACCCATGGTGACCCCCACATGTGTCAGAGTAGAACTGTGCTCCATGGGATCTTCAATGGCTGATTTTTCAGAAGTAGGTCAGCAGACAGTTCTTCCAAGGGTCCTCTGGGTAGACTCAAACCGATAATCTTTTGTTTAGCAGGAGAGCATGCTAACCACTTGCATGACCCAAGGTCTCTAAAGAGGAGATTATCAGGTAGATCAAACCAAAAAAAAAAAAAAATTGAGTTGATTCTGATTCATAGTGACCACCATTGGGTTTCCAAGGCTGTAAATCTTTATGGAAGCAGATGGCCTCATCTTTATCCCACAGAGCGGCTGGTAGGTTCAAACCACCAACCTTTTGATTAGCAGCCAAATGCCTTAACCACTACATTACCAGAGCTCCTTAGCACTAGGCAAATCAGGTTCTCATTCATGAAATGGGGAAGGAGATGTTTGATAACTATTTATTTGCATGCAGAAGAGGAGGAGACTGTGTGCTTAAGGAGGACTAAGACCATGTAGTTTCTATGCTTCTCAAGTCACTCTATTGTTGTTATGTGCTGTCAAGTTGATTCTGACTCTTAGTGACCCCATGCGATTGAGCAGAACTGCCCCATAAAGTTTCCTGGGCTGAAATCTTTATGGGAACAGATTGCCAACTCTTGTCTCCCACAGAGCAGCTGGTGGGTTTGAACTGCTGACCTTTCGGTTTGCAGCCAAGCCCTTAACCACTGTATCACCAAGGCTCCTATGCTTGATACCAATAGTGACTGGAGAGTTTGGGCAGGCTTCTTTATCTGCAGTTCTCATGGTCCTCACTGAGGGACTTTAATTATTTTTAGACATATCCAGCCCCTCTGATACATGGGATAGAAACTGACAAGTGGTACATATTTCTCACAGTGTCTGGAATGGTGTTTGGGCTCAGAATGTGGCAAATAACATGGAGGTGATGGGGCAGCAGATGTATGAACATGCACAGGAACCCAAGAGCACCAGTGGGCCTTGGAGTCTATCTCACCCGTAGAACTCGCAGGTCTGGTTGCCTAGGTACACTGCCACACTGCTCCCAGCCCCAAGGTAATGGCCTGTGATGGTCACCATGGTGCCTCCTGACTCTGGCCCTCGGATGGGGTTGAGTGACAGCACTGAAGGGTTCTTTGGAAGAAAGCAGAGAAATGTTTTTTTAGTTTAGGCTGTGGCTGAAGGGAGGAATCAAGGCTACACTTAGGAATACAGGGAGGGTCTATTTTCATGCTTACACTGCAGGTACTTTTCCTGTTCTTTACAATCTCAAGTGCTCTCTTGATTATGCTGGAGCTGAGATTCTAAAAAGAGGCCCCAGCTATGTCCAGGGAAGGCCAATGGGTCTCGCATTGGAATTAATTAACTCCCTGGAGAGGATCACACTCATAACATGGATGGGGAGGCAGATGTGACACTGACTAATCTATCAATTAGTTTACAAATTGAGAACAATTTGAAAATGCTTCTCTATCTAGAGCCTGTACTGATTTTTTTGGCACAAAATCAATAGGGCTGAATAAAGTGTTCCTGCCTAGGTTGGGCCACCAAGAGGCTAAAGTCCTCCATTAATGGCCTTGCATATGTCCTTCTGTTCCTTACAGCATGTGAAGGGCACAGCATGGTGCCTGGTGCAGAGAGCTATCAATAAATGCTGAACATGGCTTCCCAGCCTTTATAGGGAGGATGGTGCCTTACTGGCCGTATCTTCTAGCAAAGCTACCTAAGTTGTAAAATTAAGCCTGAAGTTTAAAAGAAGGGTTATCTAGCCTAAATTGCATCAGGCAGCAGACCTAAGTCAGAAAGGAAGTGCTTCTGCGTAGAGGGCAGTGTAGTGTAGTGCAAAGTGCATTTAACTGAGCAATTGTTGTTGTTATTGTTAGCTGCTCTTGAGTCTACCCAACTCATGGCAATTGGGTTTTCATGGGCTAATTTTAGGAAGTAGATTGCCGGGCCTTTCCTTCTAGTTTGACTTAGTCTGGAAGCTCTGCTGAAACCTGTTGAGCATCATAGTAACACACAACCCTCCACCAACAGATGAGTGGTGGCCACACCTGAGGTGCATTGGCTAAGAATCGAACCTGGGTGTCCCACATGGAAGGCGAGAATTCTACTACTGAATCACCTCCTACAAGGCAAGAATTCCAATCTGCATTAACCATTTATTTACTAGCTGTGTGTCCTGAAGCAAGGTTCTGGATCACTTCTGTTTCCTACTCTGACTAGTAAGAGGAGTGTGCTGCAAGATCTCCAAAGCTCCTCCCAGCTCTGACATTCTGCATATCTTTCCCCATCTAGTCCTTCCACGTTTGCTTCTCATATAAGCTCTTGTCTGCACTGGGGAGGAGATAGAGTCTGCCGGAACAGATAGGCAGTGGTACGCTCCAATCCAAGAGGGAAAGGTACAAGGAAGAGGTGGAGATACCAAGATAAGAAGGCAGAGGCTGCAAGATGGGGTAAGCAGTAAAATGCTTTAGGGAGAATAGAATCTTTTGGTTTAATGAGTTTTCAAAACTCTTACCAAAGCTGGTTTGACCCCACCCACTGGTGTTAATGCTTTTTAATGAAGAATTTGAGGTGGCACTGTGGGTGTCAGAAAAGGGTTGCAGAGCCCCAGAAGCAGGTTACTGAATCTGGATGAATATAGCGCCAGCCTTAAAGAAAGCCTGTGTGATTCTACTCCCTGTTGCCTGAGCACGAAGAGGTGTTTGCAGGTGTGAGTGTGTGTATATGTGTGTGTAACCTCATAGTCACACAGAGTGTCTTGCACACATGGCCCACGCCCGTGGTCCCGTGCACAGACACATGTCCTTGCAGGGTTTCAGTAACTCCTCTAAACTCCCACTTACAATTTCCTTGGCAGAAAGCAAAGCATGTGGATATATATATAGTCCTGTTTAATTAGGTCCCTCAGGCGATGTGTCCTCACTAGGCTGGAATTAGACTAAGATGTCGCATTGGTGGGACAAAGGCCAGCCTCTCCTCATCCCTTGTCTAGGATCTTCTTTCTAAGAAAGGCCTGATTTTGCCTTATTTAGAACTTTAATCTGTGGCCCTCTGAACTCCAGCATTTTCACAGCTTTGTTAATCACATGCTATATCCCACTCTAGAAAGACAGGGTTGCACAGCAGTGATGTGAGAAGTTCCCCTTTCTGGTGTCCTACTTGGTTTTCGAGAAGCCTGGTACAGTGCAGTTTGGGAGGGGAGACGTGGAGCCTTTCTGGGAAAGGTCTGTAACAGAGATGTGCCTGTAGCCTGGGAGCCTGGCTTTGAACCCAGTACTCACCACAAAGGTATACTGTTGATGGGACTTGGTCATGAACTCTGGCTTACACTCGCCAATGCACAGGCGCACAGGCCCAGAGGTCGTCCCCACGAGGGCATGGCCCATCTCACAGACGATCCTGCAGAGACAGCAAACCTTCAGGTTAGAGGCTTGGCAAGAGCAGACATCCCTTGCTCACCCCATAATCAGCGATACTCATGAGAGTCTTGAATGGTTATTGGACCAGGATTCAGTTTGATCACCAATCTAGCTGTGTGACCTTGGTTAAAGTGCTATCTCTCTCTGAGCTTCAGTGTCTCATCTGGACAGTGAGAAGGCTGGATTAGGGCATCACTAAAGCCCTGGGTGAGGCAAATAGTTAATGCATCCAGTGAGAACTGAAAGGTTGGAGGGTAGAATCCACCCAGTATTGGCATCACTAGGGAAGCGGAGGGTGGGTGGTGCAGCCTGCACCGGTGACGCTGTCAGAGGGAGTGACACCAAAATGACTGTTTATAAAATGTTTGTGTAATGTTTCAGGAGAAACTGATTACTTTTTATAAACATAACCCTGTAGTTAGTTACAACAAAAACATTTTAGTAAGTCCTGCTTACGAAAATGTGTATCATCTACCAGGCTAAAACTCTATGCTAATTTACTTTTTGAACCTTCTAATGGGCTCCAGGCAGAGCTGTCATTATTACCCAATCACAGTGATGCTTTGAATCACGTGGTTTCATCTGCATGTGCTACAAGTGTGTGCTGTTCTTTTTCTTGCCATTGGTGTTTTTGTTGTCACTAATTTTGTCCAATTTTCTGGTGTTTTAGCTACACTATGCGGTAATTAGTATTTGTGAACCTATACCAATAACTTTTTTGAGAATGAAGTACTAATTAAGGAAAAAGAAGGAGAAATATCAAAAAAGGCTTCTGCTCAGTTACTAATAATGTTGCAACTAATAATATTGTGATTGGATGTAGAAAGATTTTACAAAACAATTTTGTTGTTAGTATTCATATAATCTAAGAAATGTACAACTATATTTATCACATATTATTCTATGCTTAAAATTGATAATAAACATGACTAAGAATTCTGTAGACGCTCTGGTGGCATAGTGCCTGAGGCACTTGACTGCTAACCAGATGATGGCAGTTCAAACCCACCAGCCACTCCTCGGAAGGAAGGCTGGGCAATCTACTTCTGTAGTGATACCACCTCAGAAACCCAAAGAGGGGTTGCTATGAGTCGGATCCAACTCAACAGCAGTGAGGTTTTTTTTTTTTTTTTTTTTTTTCTTTTTTTGGAAGGATTCTGTATGGTCTTGTATGGGAGAAGGTCCATAGGGTGGAAAGTAATACCATGAGTTACCATACTGGATGACACCAATCTTAGTGACACCACTGAACCCAGAGGTACCATGAAAGAAAGGCCTGGTGATTTGCCCCACAAAAAACTCTGGAGTACAGTTCTACTCTGATGCACATGGGGATGCCATGAGTCAGAATTGACTCAACATCAACTGGACAAGCCCTGTGTGCCTCTGATACACTCTGCCTCCTAATTCTGTGAGCAAGCTGCAGTCCCCAGGGGCTAGCATAGTGCCTAGCACTGGTAGGTACTCGATCAGTATCTGTGGAATAAATGAAATATCCAAAACAGAGATCAAGGGGCAATGATTTCCTTGGTGTTCTTTTTGACATAACAAGAAAACACTGCAGCTCTCCCTGAAAGACGGGGTGAGGGCCTATTTGCCAAGCTGATTCAATAGTGGTTTGTTTCCTGCAGAGAGTTTAAAAAATGGGAATAGATAATCTGGTGAGATAGTGAGTGCCCCAAACAGAAGCCCCAAGCAACATGAGAGGAGTGGCGTTCTGTGGCTGTGAAATAAGGGGTGGGAGGTAGATGAGTTCATTAGGATGTCAGTTGGCACTGGACTCCCACTTAATCAAGGGCTGAGCGCACTAAGCTGGTGGGTGCTGCGGTGACACAGCTTTGGGGTTGAAAGGCACGTCTCACACTGAGAGCTGGAGGGGAGAGAGGTGTGCAACATTCTCTCTCACGAAGCCCAGATCAATACCACCAGTGATGCTTTGCTGGTGCCTGAGATAAGTTCCAACAAGCACATTTAGATACTGGTTGCCTTAGCCACAGGAGCATTCTAGAAAGGGTGGGCAGCTGGAGGACACGTGAGGGACTGGAGATATCAGGTTCGTGGGGGTGGTACCTCTTGCTTGGAATTGCAGGCTCTGGGTAGGTGGAAAAGGGCCTCACTAGGCTCAGCAAAAAAGGAGCCTGGGAGCAGAGGGAACATTTTCTTCTACTTCCAACCACCATTTAAGAGTTCAGAGCAGTTTGGTGCCCTTGGTAGGTTTGCTTAGTGGGGAGTCAGAAAAACAGACCCCCTCTACACTAATCCCCAGCATTATCCTGGCACGGTGGGGAAGATCCGTGTTTAACCGAGCAATGCTTATCTCAACAGCTTCTCTAGGAAGGAAGGTAACTAAACAGAGATTTCATTTTGAAGTAATAAAACTTGCATTAAACAAATACGCTGCATGCTCACACACCCTGCATGCCACTGATCTCCACCTCCTTCCTAACAGTTAATCCCAAATAAGTACTTTCACTCCTGGTGAATATTTACTTAACATGCAATAACTGTCTTATTACGTTTAGCATATTAGATTCAACAAGAAAGTACTGAGGCCACATAGAAGAACATTCTCTCTTCCCTTTCAATCTGAATAAAGAAATTAATTATGAATCCAGAGTAAACATAATCGGGATGATCAATTAGCATTTTGCACATAACTATCTCCTTAAACCTCATTAGTGGAGCATTTGAGAAAAAGCTTAATTTAAGATACTCTGTGTGGTTATTTTCATGCTGCTACCTGCTTGGAGGAACAGCTCTCTCACTCTGTTTCCTGGGCCCCGTGTGCCTGCTCTGGAGTCCCTGGGTGGCGCAGATGGTTAAGTGCTTGACTACTGACTGAAAGGTTGGACGTTTGAATCTACCCAGAGGTGCCTCAGAAGAAAGGCCTGGTGATCTACTTCTGAAAGGTCACAAACACTGAAAATTCTATGGAGTCCAGTTCTAAGTCTGAAACACATGGGGTTGCCATGAGTCAGAACTGACTTGACAACAACTAGTGCTAATACAACACCTGCTCCAGTTTGAGGGACAAAAGATTGAGCTGTCCTGCTAAACCATGCCCTGCTCTGCCCTCTCAAGTTGCTCCAGAAGAGAATTAGCCATAGCTAATGTCATGGGGTGTCGGGAGAGAAGAAGGGAGGGAAGAAGAGGGAGCAGATAAATCACTTTCCCTCACTTGCTAATCACAGCTTTCTTGTCCCTCACTCTCATCTCTCCTTGCCCAGATACTCTGTGCTGAAGTGAGCCTCATGAGGAAAAGGAGGAAGAAATAATTGTGGGCTTGAAGTCATGGAAAATTAAAATGTTTCAGCATGTGAAGGTCACGGGTGGCACTGCAGCTTTCCTCCTATGGCCCTGGGTTCTGTCTAGGAAAGGAGACCCAGGATGTCCCAGTAGGGAGTTAACAATGAGCTTCTTGACACATTGTCTCTTCTGGACCCTTCTTTTGCTCAGGGTTTATGGTCCAAAAGATAAGCTTTACATGTCAAGCCCTTGGGAGAAGAGCAAGAGATGGGAGGTGGACACTACCTGAGTGTCAGGCTGAGGACCTACAAATGGCTCACCCCTTCACCTGGAAGATATGATGCAGGGGGCTGTGCCAGACCATGGATCCCTTCTTCTTTCTGTGGAAAGAGGTCCTACTTCATTGGGAGAGTGTGGAGAGGGGCTGTATCAGGACTAGGCTGTAGACAAAGGTCTGAATTGCCAGGTCGAAGAACTGGACGTGAGGAGAAGAACTCTAATGGCCTTTAGCTCTTCTCTTTTTTCTTCCCTGGAACCCAGTGCCCATGGGAAAGGATGGAAAGGCCTAGAGTGTATTTGTTCTAAGCATTTGTTCTCTGAGCTCAGGGAGATATGGAGCTGAAGGAAGACACAGGTGCAGCTGCAGGAGTGGGAAGGATTATATTGAATAATGAGTATTAGGCCACAGCAGATTCTTACTTTAATAACAGAAAGAGCTATTATTTGCTGAGCTGTGATTGTGGCAGGAACTAGGCAAGAAAGGGTCTCTTGTCATTTTTAGGCTTGCCTACAAGGCAGGACTTATTGTCTCCATTTTTACACACAATTCAACTAAGGCTCAGAGATGCTAAGTGACTTACTTATTTAGGACCACAGAGTGAGTAAGTGGCAGAACCATGATTCAAATCCAGGTCTGCCTGACTCCAAAGCTCATGCTTTGGACCACTCCACTCTACCACATCTATTATCTATTTTATGAAATGCTCTGTATGACTTTTGAGAAAAGGGTAGGGAAGACAAGGTTTCCTTTGGGGGGCAATGCTGGGCCACAGTTGAGGTTGTTGGCAGAGATGATGGGGATGACTTGGCTGGGCTCCGAGTGCTCTGAGAGCTAACCACTTGTCCCCACTGCCTTCCTGGTTGTAGATGGCCTCAGGTAGTATGTGTGTGTGCTTCCTCCTCCCTCAGACTTTCAAATCTGCAAGGTTCCTGTGGTTTGATTTCTAGAGGCCTGCCACTTTCCTTGCCTCCTCCCTGTGTCCCTGGTGGCATTAGTGTTGAGAGACACTGCAGATATTCACAGTCTCTCCTTTTAAATGGAACTGGGCTAGCAGCTGTCCAGCCCTCACATTTGACAGGGTGCTTCTGGAGACCCCTTAGTGCTACAGATCAAGTGTCTAATGGTGACAGTTGCAGATTCCATTGGGCATGGAGTTTCCAGCTTCTGACACCCTAAGGGACCATGAAAGAGATGGAAGAGATAATCTATTCCCACAGATACATTTTCTAGATGAGAAATTTGAGGATCAGGGAGTAAGTGACTTGCTCAAAGTGTTACAGCTTGTCAGTAGCTAAGCTAAGGCTTGGCCCCCATTCTTCTGACACCTAGCTCACTGCCTTTCTACAGACTTGTATAACCAGTGACCAGTTGCTGTCAAATTTACTCTGACTCATGGCGACCGCATGTGTTGAGAGAGTAGAACTATGCTTCATATGGTTTTTAGCTGCCAATTTTTTAGAAGTAAATCACCAGGCCTTTCTTCTGAGGCATCTTTGGGTGGACTTGAACCTCTAATCTTTTGATTTGCAGCTGGACACTTGACTGCTTGTACCACCCAGGGACCTTGTAGACATCTTAGATGGTGCCTTTCTCCCCACAAGTGTGTACCACTGGGGAGAGGAGCACATGGCACTTAACATCTATCTGGTTATGGCTGAGCTCACAGGTGTGGCAGAGAGATTGTGAGGGTCTGGGGACTTGAGCCAAGTCTACCTTTTACATAGAGTCCATGTTCCAGGAGGGGATGAGCTGCAGCCTCAACCTACAGCATCCCATTGCCCTGTTCTGGAGTCATCGGCCTTCCAGAGATCTGTGGGGTGCTTACTGCAAGACTAAGCGGGCCCCTTTAACCAGCATTAACTTAATTGCTGAGTGATAGATGGTGCGGCACAAGCATATGGTAAGTCATCACCATGCCCGCTAATCCTGCCGACATCCGGGCCTGTGCACCATGCCCGCTTAGCCAAATTCATCTCCCACAGACATCTGTAACAATTGTGCCTGCTGCTCACTGCCCAGGATGGAGGCTTTAATGATGTTAACATACTCTGAAGCCTCAAGAGTGGTAATGAGCCTGGCACGGCGGGAAACCAGGCCTGCATCTAGCCAAGGTCCAGGATGCATCTGCTCCCTCCTGCCTGTCCTGTGCCTGAGGAGAAATGGTGGCAGTTTTCTAGGGTAACTCTGGCCTTGGGTGGGACCTGAGGGACCAGGCTCCTGCATGTCTTCACTTCCGGTTTCTCTCAGTATTGCGTTTTCCTGTGGCCCAGGGCAAGGGTGGAACATCTGATTTTCTAAATGGAGCTATAATTTCTTACACTCCTTTACAGTCTCTATGTCTTCATCTTACTGATTTTTCCCTGAGACCCTGTGGAGTAGGAATCAGGGTTTCTGTTTGGCTGATGAGGTCAGAGAGACCAAACGACTTGCTAAGGTCTCAAGGTAGGTGTGTAGAAGATTCAGGACGTAAGCACCTTTTAATATCAAATCACTTGAGATTTTGATGTCCAGCTGCTTAGGAGTTTGCATTTCTCAGCTGAAGCCTCTTTCCTCTGGTGTCCTGTGGCATCCTTACAAAGTTGGTGACTGGACTTTCCAGAGGCTCAGGGCAAGTCCTGAGACCAAGGTGGATAAGAGTCAGTGAGACTGAGAGCCTAGTCTTGTCTGTCAGTGTGCTGGGCTCTGTGAAGACCCCTACCTGCGGGAATGACTGCAGACTGCCCTGTCTCTTGCTCCAACCGCTTTTGCCCTCTCTTCTGCCTCAGAAGTACTACTGATATTGTTTCCCTTTTTCCCTTCTTATCTCTGGATAGTACAGATGGTTAACACACTCAGCTGCTAATCAAAAGGGTGAAGGTTTAAGTCCACCCAGAAGCACCTCGGAAGAAAGGCCTGGCAAACTACTTCTGAGAATGCAGCCACTGAAAACCCTGTGGAGCATAGTTCTACTCTGACACACATGGGGTGACCAGGAATCAGAGCAGACTCAATGACACTTAGCTATCTCTTTCCTGTTGACCTAGTTGTCTCCTCCAAGACTTATTCCTTGCCAGGATAAGGTTCGAATTGAAGGGACAGGTCCAATGCCTTCTTTCTTCTTCCTTGCTCTGGCCACAGGTGTCATGCTAGCCCTCCAAGCCTGGGACCCTTACCTAGGATATCCAGACCTATGGCCTGATGGACATGCAGTCCCTGCCCTTCAAAGCCACACACAGATGTACCAAAGAAGTTTCAGGTCACTGCCCAGGAGTTGTGCTCCATCACTGCTATGAAGTGGAAAGAGCACCAAACTAGGAGTCAGGAGACTCAAGTTCCAATTCTGTGTGACCTTGAGAAATTCATTTCACTTCTCTGAGCCTTCTGCTCTCTACTGCTTTGAAAATGGTGATACCAATATCTACTTCTCAGGGTCCTTACCATTTAAAAATGAAATAATGAAAGAGAATAATAATAATTAAAAAAAAAAAAAAAAAAAAACACTGCCATTGAGTTGATTCTGACTTATAGCGACCCCCATTGGGTTTCCAAGGCAGAAAATCTTTACGGAAGTAGATTACCCCATCTTTCTTCCACAGAGCACCTGGTAGATTTGAACCACTAACCTTCTGGTTAATAGTCAAATGCCTTAGGCACTGTGCCACCAGAATTACTTAATGAAACAGAAGGATGAAGCAATGCCATTTTTTGTGGCTGTGCTTTGAGTCGGAAATGACTCAATGGCAATATTTTTTTTCCATTATTATTTTTTATTAAAGGCTAGCTCTGGAGGGATTAGGGGAGAGGATCTGTGGCTGCAGAGGGTGGAGCTGAGGGAGGGGAGCCGACCCCAAAGCCAGGCCCTTAGTCATATTCTTAGAGCAGAGTTCTCAGTAGGATGAGGGTGACCTGACCTGACTTTCTACATGACAGGTCAAGCAGAAGGATTTGGCTGCCCCCTCCCTTTCTCCTTTGGAGGGGGAGCATCCCTGCTTCTATCCTCCCACCTTCACCTTTGTGCCCACCTCCTGCCCATCGACTCCACAGCGGACGCCACTGCCAAATGAACACCCCAAATTGGAACATATGTCACTCCTGGAGCCCCGTCCGCCTGTCCGCTGCTACATGCCTATTTTCTAATTTCCAGCTGACATTTCCCTTAGTGAAATAAATGAATTTGCTCCAGCGGAGGCCCTGCTCGGATTAAGCTGCTGTCAGAGCCCCATGCGCCAAACAAATTGTTGCCCGCAGCCTACTGAGCCGGATGCATTCCAATGGGGGCTGGGGAGGAGGGGGTGGGGGATTGAGGAGGAGCCTGGACTTGTTGGGAAACTGGCTCAGTCATGCCAGCGGGCAGGTGGAGCCTGAAGGAGTGGCAACGTCACTGCTGGGAGCCCAGATGCCAGAAGGGGCAGGGAATAGGACATCGACAGAGTGAGACCTTCTGAGGGTGGAGGTAGGGCAGGAGAGACCCCTAGGAAGGCTTCTGGGGCAGGGTCCATGGAAGGAGCAGGTGAAGGTGAGTCCTGGAAGAATCCAGAGTAGCAGGGAAAGTCTCCACCTTGAGCATCTGATGGGAAGCAAACTTTCCTGTCTAGGAAGTAAAGGGCCTGCTGTGGGGGGACTCACTGCTCAGCGATGATGTACTCCCCGGGGAGGGGTGTGCAGGGCACCCCAGCCACCTGCACGTGGTGGGCGATCTCGGAGAAGTCTAAGCCCAGGTTCACACCGTGGATGGTCACGCGAGTCCCTCCTTCAGGCGGCCCGGACACTGTCAAGATCTGTAGGAGGGAAAGGGGATTAGCAAGCTTGGTTGGCCCAGGAGCAGACATGGCAGTGCCTTCCTCCTTGCCAGAGAGAGGCTTAGGCCTTTGATGGACACTGGAATCCGGATGAACTGCACAAGTGTTCTCCACTTTCTAGCTTATCTAAGATCCTGGCATCATCTTCTGTTTTACACTACCTCCTAAGTTCTTTAGCTCATCCATCCATCCATCCATTATAATAGATTATTAAAGAGAATCTATTTATCAGAATGAGTACTGGACTCAGAGACAGAAAATCATTGTTTCAGATGTATTTCCGGTTCACAATAGTTGAATTAGTAAATTCAACTGATTCCACCTGATTGTGGGCAAGTCAGACAATCTCTGAACTTCAGTCCTTCTTAGTTGTGAAGTGGGATAATCATCTCTACCAACTTCACAGGGAACTTGTGAGCTCCATGTAGATGCTATGTTTGGGTGCATTCTATAAACCAGAAAGGGCTTTGTAATCAGTGGTATCACTGGGGGGTGGTGCAGGCTGCACCAGGTGACCCTGTCAGAGGGGGCGACACCAAAAGGACTGTCTATAATTTTTTTTGTGCAGTGTTTCAGCAGAAATTGATTATTTTTTTCATAAAAATATCCCTGTAGTAAGTTATAACAACAAAAACAGCTTCTATAAAGCCAGTTTACATGCATCAATATACTTACAAGGCTGAAAATCTATGCTAATTTACTTTTTGAACCTTCTAATGTGCTCTGGTCAGAGCTGTCATTATAATCCAATTACAATGATTCTTCAAATCACATGGTTTCGTCTGCATGTGCTACAAGCGCATACTGCTGTTTTTGTTGCCACTGGTGTTTTCTGTTGTCATTAATTTTGTCAAATTTTCTGATGTTTTAGTCACAGTATTGTGGTAATTAGTATTTATGAACTCAGATCAATATTTTTTTGAGAATGAGGTAGTAATTAAAGGGAAAGAAGGAGAAACATCAAAAAAAGGCTTCCGCTTAGTGACTAATAATGTTGTAACTCAATGTAGAAAGATTTGACAAAACAATTTTGTTGTTAGGATTCATATAATCTAAGAAAATTACATTAAGAAGTTTATAACTATATCAATCACATTATTGCATGATTGAAACTGATAATAAACACTACTAAGGATTCTGTATGGTCTGGCATGGTAGGATGGCAGGGTAACACGAGTTACCACACTGGATAATACCGAGACCAGAGATGCCATTGTTTGTAACTGTGATGTGTTATTATTGCCAAACCTGAGACTAGACTCTGTAGGGGGTTCAGTGATGAATACAACTGGGTATTTGCCCCCAGGAACATACAGTCAAGTAGAATGAGATAACAGAAGAGCAGAAGTAACACCGGGTGCAAGGAACACAGTGATAAAATAGATACAGGGCGAAAGCTGTGGGAACTCACAGGAGTCCAGGATTATGTCTGGCTGTAGGGGGGTGGATCAAAGAAGGAAAAGTGTGTTTGACGTTGTTCTGGAAAAAAAAAAAAATCCTGTGACACATGCTAGGAGCAAGAAGAAATAACTTTAGAATTTTCCAAATCTTTGCTGGCTTTCTGTTAGCCAGGATCACGTTATGTGTTCATTCCGTAATTCAGTCACCAAATGCTGACTCAGTCACATGGTGCTTTGATCCAAGAGGAAAAGGAACTGCAGGATCAGCTTCCCCCAAAGTGTACGCTTCTGTCTGGGAATAGCTCAAGTTCCTGGAAAAATGTGATTGTTTGGGATCAACAGATCCCAGAGAATAAGTTCATACTTTGTGGTCCATAGTTATCTGAAGCAAGGAGAAATTAGGAGTGAGTTCAATCCTAGGCCACAGAAGAAACACAGAATTTCAGAATTAAAATAGGGCTCGGGGGATCTTATCCCAAGATCCTTATTCTACAGTGATAAGAACAAGACTTAGAGAAGTTGGAGATACAGCCAAGGCCTGCCTTGGACAATGTGTACACACAGTTTTGAAGAATCCCAGTGCTCTTTTCAATACACTATAAGAAAAGCAAAGGAGCTCTGGTGGAATAGTGGGTAAGGCTGCTAACCAGAAGGTCAGCGGTTCAAACCCATAGGCTGCTCTGTGGAAGGAAGATGGGGTGTTCTACTTCTGTAACTTGATGGCAGTGAGTTTTTTTTTTTTTTTTTTTAAATAAGAAAAGCAAGGATGGGGAGGGAAGGGGACATGATCAAGATCAGAAGCCCATCAGAATCTCCTTGATGGGGCCTCTGGGAAGATCTGCAGCCTCCATGTCCCTGGGCACTTTTGGAGGTCCTCCTCCTGAGCCCTACACATTGCTGGTGAGGGTGGTCCTGTTGGCTATGGGGTCAGCTGCCCCAGGGCAAAGGTGATAGGTGAGTACAGATGAAACTGTTGTCAAAGGCTCTGGACACTTCGATCTACCTCCCTCTCTTCGCAAGGGACACTTCTCCTTTCTATGATGAGTTCTGCCACAAACTCGGCCACATATTACCAGATGATAGTGAGCAAAGAAGAAGGTGACAGTGGGGGTGAGGGCCACGGGCGGTTCTTCTTCTCTCCAGGACCCACTGACATGCTGCTCACATCACTAGGCTGTAGAGTCAGAACTTGGAACTCACAACTTCTAACCTTCTGTCTTCTCTGTAGGCCTTGCATGGTGCAGCCTACCTCCCTCTTAGCCAGCCCAGCCATGAACACTCCCATCTGGGGTCTTGTTTCACCCCGTCACCTTGTCTGTGCTCTGACTTCCTTTCCTGGGAATGAAATATCCTACCTTATGAATAAAAATAAGCAAGATTCTTGAAATGAATCAAGGGTGAGATAGTCAAGGTAGCTCAGAGGTATTTCTGAGTGTTGGGGAATGGATGTGGGGGGAGGAAGGACAACTTGGAGAGGAAGGAGCTGCCAAGAGAAACCAGAAGCCCTTACAGCTTCTCTGTCTCTGGAGACTAAAAATACCTAGTAGTAATAGATTTTGGCTGCTCCTCTCTCCCAGGGCAAGATTGCTTTCCTTCAGGTCCCTGGGACTCCTGGGCCCTGGGCTCTGGGCTCTGGGCTCTGGCCCCCGGTTAATGGGAAACAGGGAAAGGGCTGCCTCTCTCTGTTTAGGGAGAGCATCATTAGCAAGACTGTGCTTTTAGCTCCTGCTTCTCTTTTGATCTACTTGGAATAAGCTTTAACCAAGCCCTTCCTTCCCCTCCCCTTAGCCACCTGGATAGCATGAACCTACTTCCCAAAAGGAATGACAAAACTATAGTGATTGGTCCTCTCTCCTCCCCCCACCTTTATTTTTAAAAATGCAGTCTTTTGCTTGCTGTAGTTAATTACAACCTTTCAGAAAAACCGTGAAATGAAATCTTTCTGGAAGGCCTAAAAATATTTCTGTCTCGCAGGTAGCATGTGGGGATTGTATTGTGGGTACTCGGTGGCACTGGCAGGTTCCTCAGGGTAGCTTCCTCCTGCTGGTAAATCACTGGAGTATCTATTTATTCCCCTTCCAACATTCTAGAGTTGGTGCCAGAGACATGGTCATGGGCGTTGTGGTGTTGTATTGCTGGTTTGTTAGCACAGAGCTGTTTAGAAGCATAAGTCAGCTAATACTGTTTTGAGAAGGGAGATCATTTCTTATTTTTTAAAATTATTAGGTGATAGATAGATAGATAGACAGATAGATGCTACTGAGTTGACTCTGATTCATGGGGACTTTATGTACAACAGAACAAAATGTTGCCCCATCCTGTGTCATTCTCAGAATCACCAGCATATTTGAGTCAGCTGTTGTGGCTCTTGTGCCAGTTCATCTCACTGAGGGTCTCCCTTGTCCTTTCTGGCCCTCTGCTTCACCAAATATAATGTCCTCCTCCAGCAATGGATCCCTTCTGATGACATGCCCAAAGGGAGTGAGTTGGGCAATATTCTGTTGTGATCCTCAGGGTTTTCATAGGCTAATCTTTGGAAGGAGATGACAAGGGCTCTTCCTGGTCTCTCTTAGTCTGTAAGCTCCACTGAAACCTGTCCATTGTGGGTGACTGCTGGTATCTGAGATGCCTGTGGCATAGCTTCCAGCATCACAGCCACACACAAGCCACCACAACATGACAAGTATTACAGCCCTGGTGTGAGGATCTAAGTCAAAGAGACAGGTAGTTGGGGGTGAGGAGACACCAACCTGATTACTTCTAATCCAGCTAATAGCTGGTGGAATCCAAGAGAATCAGTGTCCTCAGTGATCATCAAGCCAGGTCGTCAAGCTTAGAAAGCACCTGTGGAACACAGGATCCATGGCGGTATTCTTTTGATAGCTTGTGCTATGCTGTCAGGATCTGGGCTACAGGTGAAGGGCTACATGGCAGGGGGTAAAGCACTAAGCAGCTGCCAGGCCCTGAGGGGCTCACAAAGGGCACAGCTTAAAGCCTCCTTGCTTAAAACGAAATGGGTGTAAAAGTCTGCATTTCCAGAAACATAGATGAGGTGTGATTATTTGATTTGCAAGAGGATTCCCAAGGCTTCCATTACTGATGACTTGGAAATTTATATCGTTGGCTCAGACCTCTCTCCTTAGCCCCATATCCATATATCCAATTGCTACTGGACATCTCCACTTGCACATGTGTGTCCCTCAGGAACCTCAAATTTCACCATGTCTAAAAATGAACTCTTAATTTTTCCTCCTCCCACCCCCAACCTGATTATCCTCCCAGCTTCTCTTTCAAGGTTAATGAAATCACTGTGCACTCAGCCAAGAGCCTTGCAAGCCTCTTCAAGTGTTCCCTTTCCCTCACCTACCATGTATAATAAATCAGGTCACCGGGCCTATTGGTTCAGATTCCAGTATGTCTTTTGAATCTGTGCCCCCCTCTGGCTTCCAGATGCAGAGAAGGTGTTTGGCAGGGCTCCTTCATGTCTCACCCACACTAACTGGAACAGGCTTTGTGCTCTTCCCTGTCAACCTATCTTCCTCAGAGCTGTTGGAGTGACCTTCATGAACACACACTCCA